TCAAATTTCAAACCAGGTAGCCAGCAGATAGAATTAATCAATTTGTTATTCTAGGGTAGCAGTATGTCCTGGCTACAATGGCTACAAAGAGGATTGAACCCGGAAACTCCGGGTCCAGAGGCGAGCAACATACCTGCTGACAGGCACAAGCCCTGTCTGTTGAGCTACAAAATCTGCCTATGTTTTATTATGATTATTTTTTTAATTATTTTTTTTGGGGGGGAGAGATTTCTTAAAGGAGATAATTCACAATAGAATGGTCAATAGTTATGTACATGTATTGGTTGTTTCCCTTTAGGAAGCAATGATTTTGACACGTATGAGAGAGACCGCGCAAAGCAATGAAATTTGAATAAGCTATTTATGAATAAACGATTAGTTAAGTTGTTCACAAATCAAATATGTGGTTGAAGGGGTCCTCTCATCTTCCCCTTTCCCACTTCTTCATCTTCCCATCTTCCTCCTCTACTTCCTCGTCCCCATCTTCCCTTTCTCCTCCCCCTCCAAATCCTCCACCTCGTCTACCCTCTCATCACCCCCCTCTCCGCCCCACCTTTCCCCTTTTTACTCCTTATTCAGATAACAGAAGAAAAATATCTTAATTACATTACATTACGACCACAAATATGTGTCTCCACCTAGTGTAGAGACTCAAATGTTGCGCAATAGGTCAAGTAAATTCCTAAAGGAAGTCTCAAGTAGACTGTTATCACAATGATGTGTGGGATGATGATGACGATGATGATGGTGATGATGATCATCATCATGATGAAGATTTACTTTTTCCGTATTATAAGATTTGAAATTCTACATTCTCCACTATTGTCTGCTTTTTAAAAATATCTTCGACTTTTCAACACTGATAATGATGAAAGTGATGATGATGTTTTTTTGTGTTTCCTTAATGGGCCTAGTGGACTCCACGAAGAAATCTTCGAGCGAGAGTGAGTCTCTTTTTCGGCTCAATTGTCATTATACTTAGTGGCACCTCTACTCGTCCAAATAACTCCTTTCGAATTGCCATTGTTCCTGGACATTCAAACATATTATGTTTGACTTTCTCCTTTTCAAGGCTGCATCTTCGGCAACATGGGCTGAGATCTTCATTCATAAAGTTATTATGCCATCTCAAGCTTCAATGATGGCCCGACTGCAGTCTCGCTAGCTCAACCTGGTCCCAGCGACATGTGATATTATGTTCCTGTTTATTGGGGAAGCTCTGATGATGATGTTGATGCTGTTGGTGGTGGTAGTGGTGGTAGTGGTGGTAGTGGTGGTAGTGGTGGTAGTGGTGGTAGTGGTGGTAGTGGTGGTAGTTTGGGTAGTGGAAGTGTTATTAAATATCACAACAAAACATGGAAGAAAATAAAACCAGGAAGACCAGTTTACCGTAAGTATGATTTTTGTTTATTCTTAATATCGTGCATCAAGCTACACAGTTTCTCTATCCACCCTAGACTTCATCGCATACAGAAAAAATCCCCACTCCCAAAATAATAAATAAACTTCCCTTTACTACACTCATCAAGTCATTCAGTAATGTCAACTGACAGTCGACAATAAAGTTACCCGATATGAAAAAAAAAATGTGTTTATTATGAACTACGAAAAGCAACAGAAAGTTATAATAAAAGTAGAAAACGAGCTAAATACATTGAATTGAATGGTTTTAGTTGAGAGGTTATGACATGGGCATTTGAAATGATTATAAAGACTTTTTAAAATGCAGACTACTAAATTAACGTATTATACAGTGTAACATTCGGTGCTTATAGACCAGTTTGTAAAAGTGGATACCTAAATATTGATGGACTTTCTCTATGGAAAAAGGTAATGTACTCATGTTTGTTGTATGCTTTGCGAGCTTTGCTTAAATTGCCAAGTCTGGTTTCCAGTATAGAACTAATTAGGTAGAAACAATCGCAAATGGCGCACCATTAACAGCAAATTACTAACAAATGCTACCAAACGTTCTAGAGAAACAATGCTGTTTTGGAGTACCAACATGTTTGCTAAGTTTTAGTTTTCTAGGGAGTATATTGGTGTAGTTGAATGCGTTTGTATGTGTTTGCAAGTGAGTGCTTGTGTGTGTGTGTGTGTGTGTGTGTGTGTGTGTGTGTGTGTGTGTGTGTGTGTGTGTGTGTGTGTGTGTGTGTGTGTGTGTT